AGAAACTTCCACTAAGGCGGTTTTCGGAACTCCGGAGAGATGAGGAGAAAAGTTCGTTCGGGGCGGCGGAGGCGAGTCCCTCTGTCTCTCTCCGATCCGGACTCGGCGGGGACAAGGAAAGCACTCCCAAGGAAGCGCGCCACTGACTTCTGCGTAAAGGCGCCCATCCAGCGGATTGGCGCAACTGCAAGGGGAACAAGAGGATAGGTTTGCGCCCGTGTAGGGGATCCTGTGTTGAAAACAGGAGCCCGGCCGGCCGGCGAACACTCATTTGCAGGACTGACCAGCGATCCTGGCACGCCGTGGGAAAAGGCGGGCTGGGACGTGGAAGGGCGCACCTCCCCAAAACTCGCCGTTCTTTCCTCGTATATGATTTCCAGGCGGGGGCGCCGCAGTGGCCGGTTGTGGCCAAGATAACCCAAGAGTCTTGTCGCACCTCGAAGCTTACACAGAACCTTCTTCAGGCATGGGCTGCGCGCTCCGCCGAGGCTCGTGTCAAAGCAAACTTGGGAGCGTGTCAGGTGTCGCCTCCGCCCAGCTCAATTCCGCCCCTCCCCTTCCCCTACACACGTTCTATCGCGACCTGGGTTCGGGCCGGAAGCGAGGAGCCTCTTGCCTCCGGTGGCCTCCTGAGAAGGCGGGCAGGGAACGCCGGTCCCTTTCGCGGCCGAAGGACAAGCGACACCTGCTGACCCCCCCCCACCCCACGTCCCCTCTCGACGATGCCGTCGCCTTTGCCCTCTCCTCCCCGAGGGCCATCCGACGCACAGCCACGACACGCACCTCCCCCGCAGGACAACCAAGGGCACTGCTTGTCGATTCACACGTGCACCGCCCGGAGCTCGGGAGCGACGGCGGGTTCAGGAATCGCAGGGCGATCTGCCCGTTCCCGAGGTCTGACCGGCTCCCTTCACCCCTCCACCGCAACACCGAGGAAGGGCTTGGCTAATTAATTGATTGATTGACTAACAGCCGCAACATTGCCGTGGCCACGGCTTGGAATTCGCTAAAAACTGCTCGTTGGACAAGTATTTGATTTCAGAAAGAGAAGAGGGTGGCGGCGGTGAGAGCGGTTATGAAAATAAACCTGACGTCTGGGTTACACCCTTCCGATCCGTTCCCCAAGGGAAAGCGTCTCTTTTTTTTCTCGAGTTCGTTGCCGGATCCATTCACACCCGCGGATATCCCCCGGGACACCCTCTCTCGCGTGTTTTGGCCGGTCCGCTCGGAAGGCGGAGGAGGCTCCCAGCCTAGGATCCCTCCCCGTCCGAGGAACGGCAGCCTCTGCAACATCCTCCGGGTTGGAGGAAGGCAAGGAAGATACAGGGAAGAACTCCCAAAGGAGCCGCTCGCGCCGGCTTTCCCGGGTCAGCCCTTCTGCGCTCCCCCTGCGCGCACCGCCCCCTCCGGCGCAAAAGTCAGGCTTCAAAGGGTGGCGGCGGGGGGGGGAAGGGTGAGAGGAGCGATGAGCCGCCGTCGCCCCACAGCCTGCCCGATCCCACTCTCCCTACTGCCTCTGAAGGATCAACTGGCCGGGTTGCAGACACACACACCCCCAAAGGGCAAGTACTGTATAGGTGTCTATAGGGGTATCCCAACGGAAGACAACCTGCCCGCCTTTAATCCCCAGGGTGAGGCCGTCTCCCTGGCGCGAGCCTGTGGCTGCCTGCAGAAGCCGGGCTCCACCT